CCCCAGCTGTAAGCCTTCCAACCTTCTAAATATTCCTTTATATGTGGTTCAGAGTTCTGGGACCATCCCCTGAGCCTGCTTGGTCGGGTATTCTGTGTCGTTGTTGGCGGAGCTCTTCACTGCACTTCCACCCGATCCGCCATCTTATTTGTTCCTCTCCACAAGCTTTTTAAAGGTTATATATATCGTGATGGTGGTGGTTATGTCCCATCAAGTCGGTTCCTACTCATAGCGACCCTTATATAGGGTTTCCGAGGCTGTAAATCTTTATGGAAACAGAAAGCCTCATCTATCTTCCATGGAGTAGTTGGTGGACTCCAACTACTGACCTTGTGGTTAGCAGCCCAATGTATAACTCACTATGCTACTAGGGCCCCTTCCTCATATATATACGTTGTTGTTATTAAGTGCCATAAAGTTGGTTCCAACTCATAGTGAACCTGTATAGGGTTTCCGAAGAGCAGCGGTGAGCTTGAACCACCAACTTTGTGTGTGGTTCAAACTGACCTTGCAGTTTAGCAAGCCACGCCAGGACTACTCCTCACATATTTACATATACAGAAAACCCAAAAACCCACTGCTATCAGTTGTTTCTGATGCTTAGCGACCCTATAGGACAGAGTTAGGACTTCCCCTACGGGGTTTCCAAGGGTATAAATCTTTATGGAAACAGATTGCCTCATCTTTCTCCCTTGGAAACTGCTGGTAAATTTTTCAGTTAGCAACCCAGTGCTTAACTCATATTGCCACCAAAGCTCCTCCATACACATAATGTTGTTGTGAAGTGCTGTCGAGTCGGTCCAACTCATAGAGGCCCTGTGTAAAGTTTCCAAGGAGCAACTGGTGAGTTTGAACTGCTGACCTTGTGGTTCAAATCAACCTTGCATTCAAGTGCTTATCCTACAGTGCCACACCAGGACTCAATACACATATATACACTCATAGATATGTATGTATCTTGTACATCCACAGACACATTCTTGTGACTATTTTTGCTCATTAATGCACACTTTCAAGTTGCTATGTTTTCTTTACTTAAAGGTTTACTTAGAAAATAACCTTATACTATGTGACTTAACAATGTTTTATAACCCAAGTAATGCCACAGCACGTGGTTTTGTTGTGGTGGTGGTTCTTAGAAGTCAGGGTTGTGGAATACTAATGGCACCTGCCTAAAGTTCTTCCTGTGTGCAAGATTTTAAGAGTGCCTGTGGTTGGCCAACAATGTGGCAAGACCTGGGGACTCCTGGGCCCAGAGACAGTGACATAGCCACAGAGGACTAGAGTGGAGAGTGAAGCGTCCAGCTAATAAGAAGAGAGGGCATATGCACAAGAACAGCCACACTTGCAGATAATGCCCACTTGACCTGGCGTCAATGACTGGATGATCAGAGCTCGACTAGAAGAAGAAAGAAGAGGAAAAAAGAGTAATCTGACACAATTTGATGAACTTGACCTACAACTATGGATTCATTAGCTCAAAAGAGGGAACAAATCTTTACAGCGAGGATCATTCCCACCCTCTCAGTACACAGGGTAGACAGGGATGGGCAACTTGGACATTGGGGGAGGGAGGCGCTGCAAAGGCAAGAAGTTACTGGTTTACAAGCTTTCAAGAGGGATCCTAGATCCAGAGGGTATGGAGGAAGGTAGAATCTCCGTAGTATCCAATCTGTCTGGGCAGGGCTGATGAAAGGAAATGGGGATAGGACTCTTGTCCTACAATAGTGAATAATTGATATCAGGACTGACTGTGAGGGTTGGAAATGTAAAGGAGGGGAGTGGTTGACTTTGCAGTCCAGGAGCTAGAGGTCCCTGGGACCATCAAGGGAGAAAAGCGAAATGCAGGACCCTACCCAGAGAAACAGTGACACCAGAGATGGAGGCAGAGATGATAACAAGGAGAGATGGAATGGCTGGGGACGCTAGACCCAGAGAGGGAAAGGGGCTGTGTGCTGATGACCGAGGGGCAAGCTTGCAGGGTATACCCTTTGGTTGGTTGATGATGCATGGAAGGGATTGTAATCATGGCAATGAAATGATACACGATAGGATGAATATAAAGCTAATGTTCTTCCATGTAAACTATCACATAATTCACAATAAAAACTTAAAAAATTTTTTAAAAAAGTACCTGTGGATGAAGGCAGCTCCTGAGGTCTTTGGGAAGAAATTTTCTTTTCTGATCCAGCTCAGAAGAAGACCATATTCCCATCCCAGCTGTTTTGACTTCCTTGGCTCCCACTTCCAACTTTATACTAAACTCTTCAACATAACAGGATTATAAATTGTCATTCACAATTATCTTCTATAAGTACTGGCCCCCTGCCCCAATAATCAGGAAGGATCCAAGAATGATATGTTGGCAAAAGATAGTCCTCTACCCTTTGGTATGACTCACGTTTCTGAATACACAGTTCTTCAAGGGCTACCTGAAAGGGGAACATGGTCGTCTTCTCAGCCTATGGAGAGAGGTAGTGACCTTCCGACGCCACTTCCTGAAGATGAAGTCAGCCACTGACAGGTCAGTGTGGGAATAAGAAGGGAGGAGGTTCTGGACTTTCAGTGATGGAGGTCTCAGGGTGGTTGGAGGGGAGAGAGAATATAGTTGGTGGGAAGACATAGTATAAGGAGGACATTAGGGAAATTGGCTTTATTGGGCACTTGATGGGAAGCTGGGAGTCATGGGTATATAAATGGTCATTTGCTAACCAAATGGCTGGAAATGGGAGTCTACCTAACAGTGCCTTAGAAGAAAGACCTGGCCATTCTACTTCCAATAAATAAGCCACTGAAAACCCTATGGAGCCCAGTTCTACTCTGACACACACAGGGTTGTCAGGAGGCAGAATAAACTCAGCAACAATTGATGGTTTTTAGACAAATTTTTTGGATGATTTTTCCCACACATATTTCTCAGGTCTCATTGACCCTGAAGGAGCTCTGCTAGCGTAGTGGTTACAAATCGGGCTGTGAACCTCAAGGTTAGCAGTTCGAAACTACCAGAAAGTTAAGGCTTTCTGCTCCCGTAAAGATTTACAGCCTCTGAAACCCTGTACAGGGTCGCTATGAGTCGGAACCGACTCCACAGCACATAACAACAACAAGAACATTGACCCTGACCTCCTTGGTCCCTCCCTTGTGGAGTCCGCTCTTTTCCTTGCTTGTACTCAGGGATCTGATGGAGCTAAAGGCTGAGCACATGAAGCTTTCAGGGTCCTTGTTGACCTGTTGTCTGCGCTTGACGATGGGAACACAGTCTCGGGAATCTGATGGATCTGGGAGACTGGATGGGAGCGAGCCAGGCCAGCTGCTGCTGTTACTAGCCAAAACCCAGGAGCTGGAGAAGGAAGCCCATGAGAAGAGCCAGGAGCTAATCCACCTGAAGAACCAAGGGGATCTGGAGAAGGTCGAGCTTCAGGACCGGTGAGCTGTGCTCTAGGGAGAACTCCCTCAAGGATTCATATATTGGCAGGGTGAAGGCCAAGAGCATTCCCACCAGGAGAGAAGGGGCTGTACCAGAGGGAGTTGAGCTGGAAACCCAATGCCACAGTTGGCGCACATTACTGGCCTCCCCCTCAGACTGCCCTGAGGCTCATTGCCTCTGTGTTTTGTCAACACCAAACCAAACTGTTTCATGTGTCCCTGCCTTTGTTCATGCTGACCTTCACCAGGACTACCTCCCTCCCTTCTCTCTCTGCCTTATCCTTTAAGTCTTAAACTGGTGGGGAACCTTTTCTCTGCTAAAATTTATAGCATCATTCAAAAGCCATATAAAATTATCAACTTAAAAATTAGCCTGTTATATTTGTTCAAACACTTAATTAACTCATCCTACCTAATGTGATGGCTGGAACTGTGGTTTCCTTGGCTGGGCCAAACCAAATAATAATTTTCAGGCCTTATCACTGTGAACTGAAGCCTACTAGATGGCACTTAACAACAATAACAAATGCTTTAAGAAATCAAGCAGTTGCCTTCTCATCTTTGAAACCTTTTCTGACCACAGTGGTGGTATTTATTTGTGTGCTCTCAAGTTGATTCCACCTCATAGCGACCCCCATACAGGGTTTCCAAGGCTTTAAATCTTTACAGGAGCAGAAAGCTGGATTCAAACCTCATGGCTAGCAGCCCACCACATTAACCCACTACACCACCAGGGCACCTTCTGATCACAGCAGGAAAAACTGATCTATTAAGTTACTGGCCCCTGTTGTCTTTCAGCTTTATTGTTACAGCATTGATCATATTATTCAATAGTTAATCCCTCCCTCTCTTCTCTTTGATTAGGCTGTTTTACTTTTTAAGTCTTATAAAGTGTTGTCATGGGCTGTCAAATCGCTTCTAACTCATAGTGACTAGGACAGAGTAGAACTGCCTCTGAGGGTTTCCTAAGTTGTAGTCTTTATGGGGGAGTCCTGGTGTGGCCCATGGGTTAATGTGCTGGACTGCAAGGTTGGTTTGAACCATAAGGTCCGCGGTTTAAGCTCACCAGCTACTCCATGGAAACCCTATACAAGGTCGCTGTGAGTTGGAACAGACTGACAGCACTTAACAACAACAATCTTTATGGGAACAAATCACCAGGTCTTTCTTCCATAGGGCTCCTGGTGGGTTTGAAACACTGACCTTTCGATTAGCAACCAAGCGTTTAACCTTTGAACCACCAGGACTCCTTATAATAAAATTGTTAAGTGCCATTGAGTTGGTTCTGACTCACAGCGGCCCTGTGTAGGGTTTTCAAGGCTGTAAATCTTTGTGGTGGCCAGAAAAAAAGCCTCATCTTTCTCCCATATGTTTTATAAAAAATTATAATGAGATAGACAGAGACCTCAGCCGGGAACTCCATGTGAGTCTCAGGTCAAAGTTCAGTTTATGCCCCATGACTAGGGCTGTGCCACCACCTACTGGCAGTGGACATAAATTGCAGGGGTTTACTTTTGTGTTTGGGCTGTGTCTTAGTAAGTTTTGAAGTGGCCCTGGTAACCCTGTGGGATAAGCACTGGACTGCTAACTGCAAGGCTGGCTGTTCAAACCTACTAGCCACTCCTTGGAAGAAAGATGAGGCTTTCTGCTCCTGTAAAGATTGTTGTTGTTGTTGTTGTTGTTAGGTGCCATTGAGTCAGTACTGACTCATAGTAACCCTATGCACAACAGAACGAAACACTGCCCGATCCTGGGCCAACCTCACAATTGGTGCCACACTTGAACCCATTGATGCTACCACTTGGCCAATCCATCTTGCTGGGGGTCTTCCTCTTTTTCTCTGACCCTCCACCTTATCAAACTTGATATCTTTGTCCAGTGACTGGTTCTTCCTGACAATATGTCCAAAGTATGAGAGATGAAGTTTGGCTATCCTGGCCTCCATGGAACACTCTGGCTGCACTTCTTCCAACACAGATCTGTTGGTTCTTTTGGAAGCCCATGGCACTTTCAATATTCTCCTCCAACATCATAACTCAAATGCATCAATTATTTTACAGTCTTCCTTATTCACAGTCCACCTTTTACATGCATATGAGGTTATTGAAAAGACCATGGCTTGGATCAGGCGCACCTTAGTCCTCAAGCTGACATCTTTGCTCTTCATCATTTTAAAAAGGTCTTGTGTAGCAGATTTGCCTAATACAATACGTCATTTGATTTCTTGACTGCTGTTTCCATGAGTGTTAATAGTTGATCCAAGAAGAGTGAAGTCCTTGACAACATCAATCTTTTCTCCGTTGATAAGAATGTTGTTTTTTGGGCCAATGGTGAGGATTTTTGTTTTCTTTACATTGAGCTGTAATCCATATCAAAGGCTGTGCTCTTTGATCTTCATCAGTACCTGTTTTGAGTCTAAGGCTGTAAAGATTACAGCCTTAGAAAGTTTATACAGGGTTGCTATGAGAAGTGTTGTTGAGCCAGTTCCAACTCATAGTGACCCTGTATAGGGTTTATGAGGAGTGACTGGTGGGTTTGAACCACTGACCTTGTTATTAGCAGTCTGGTGCTTATCCAACAGAGAGCTGGTATTAAAAGCTCATAGCAACACTATAGGACAGAGCAGAACTGTTCCATAAGGTTTCTAAGGATGTCATCTTTCTAGAAATAGACTAACTCATCTTTTTTTCACAGACCGACTGGTGGGTACAAACCACCAGCCTTTTAGTTAGCAGCCCAGTGCTTAATCAACTACACACAAGGATTCCTAGAGCTGGCATAGGATGAAAATATTAAGACACCCCTCCCCCCCAAAAATGGGCATCGTTAAATAAAAACTTATTTAGCCATCCACATAACACCAGGCACTGTGCCCCAAGATACAGTGTTAACTGACAAAGGTATCAGAGATGTGTCTGAACTTTGAGGTTCATTTCAAGGAGGCAGACCATAATCATCCCCATCTTGCTGTTCCCTTTCCCCTATCAGAGTCAGAACGTTGGGCTGGAGGAACCTTGGGCCTATCCCCTGTGGCAATCCTGATGTTCTTATTGGCTTCAGGGTGCTTGACCTCAAGATCCAGCCAGGCCTGGAAGGGCCGGGGCCAGGGCTTCCCTTCAGCTCTCAGGCTCCCAAACACGTGTTCCAGCTTTGCTATGTGGTAAATCCCTGCATGTGTTGTTCTGAGTGGCTTTTATAGCATCATGTGGTGTGCAGAGGGACTGGGAGCACCCCAGGGTGTCTGGGGAGGCTGCAGTGGAGTGTTGGGGTTGGGTGTGCTGCAGAGTAGCTCTGGCCACAGCATTGGGTGGCCCAGGTGACAGTTTTGTGTTCTTTTCCTTAGGATAACAGAGCTCTCTACTTTGCTGACCCAGTCTCAGAAGCAAAATGAAGAATATGAAAAGATGGTAAAGGCTCTGAGAGAGACGATGGAGATGCTGGTATGCAATCGTTTGTTCTGGAAAGGAATTGGGAATAAGCTTGTAGGTCCCTTGTTCTTAGTGCACAGGTAGTGCAGGGTTCAGTTATATGTTCTCTGTGAAATCATTGAAAGTAAAAATAAATTGTGACAGACTCTGAAAATTCATTCATTTATTCATTTATTCATCCAACAAATATTATTAACTGTTTATTATCCCTAATGGAAGCGCAATGGCTCTGTAGAATAAGCACTGGACTGTGAGCCACAAGGTCAGCAGTTCGAGCCCACCAGCTACACTGAAGGAGAAAGATAAGACTTTCTGCTCCCACAAAGATTGATAGCCCGGGAAACCCCATTCAGGGCCGCTGTGAATCAACTGAATTGACGACACTTAACAGCAACATCCTTACTACGTCCCTCTGTATGCATGCGTGCAGCATGTCCTTGACAGAAGTGGTTCACACATGAGCAACCTAGTGCATCATCAGGAATGTGCAGAGAGATTCAGAGCCATAGCATATGGGAAACTGAGGCGTGTGGTGGTGTTCAGCCTGGAGAAGAAAGATCTTGAGGAGGATATGATGGCAGCCTTCACATAGCTGAAGACTGACAGTGGGGAAAAGTGGTTGAATCCTGAACTCCTGCCTACATCACACCCCTAATCATTTCATACAAGCTGGGGTCAGCTGGGATCCGGACTTGTTTATGCCTATTTAGTTCACTTGGGGCAGGAATTTTCAAATTCAAATGTTGGGTCTAGATCATGTAAAAGAGTGAAGTGGTTTGACTGGAAGAGTTGTGGTTGTCTAGTGCTGTCATAATTGAGTTTTCGGTAGTGCAGGGGCCACTTGACCTCACTATTGAAAAAACACTGAGTGATCGGGATTGTAGGAAGCTAGGAATGCATGTCTTAGCTAAAGGAGACACCCATATACAACTTCAGTAAATTGTTGCCATGTAGGAATGTGGGTTGGGTATGTTCTGCTTGTTAAGATTTTGTGAGAAGCCAGAAATGGAGGTGGATTTTGAGATGTTGCTTCCAATTTTATATGTTGTTGGTTGCTTTTGAGCTGATTCTAACTACTGTGTTGAGGGACAGTAGAACTGCCCTTAGTTTTCTTGGCTGTAATCTTTACAGGAGCAGATCACTAGGTTATGCTCCTGAGGAGTTCTTTCTCCTTTTGGTCAGCGGCCCAGTGTTTTTTACATGGTACACCAATAGGGCTCCTTAGATTTTGTACAGACTAAACAAAAGCTAGCTGCAAGTCATTCTGGGCCTTTGGGCTATCCTATGTCCTCAGGCCTTCACCAGCACAAATATAGATAGGAAGAGAGGAAATCTTGAGTTTTCAAAACTATTCCTAGCTTTGGGGCCAAAGGTTTCTCTGGTTGATTAGTAGGTCTCAAGCATCAGTTTACTTGTGTAGCGATAGCAGCCAGCTTCCCATGCCATAATAACTCAAATGTACTGAGCTTTCACTTTGTGCCAGGCATTGTGTTGAGTAATTTCAGTGCTTTTTTTCCTCTCATTTTAACCTCAAAACAAATCTATGAAGTAATTGCTATTGATTATTATTTCTTTTTTTTTTTAATTCTATTCTTTTTTTATATATAACTTTTTTATTATGAATTGAATTAAGGTTTACAGAGCAGATCATCAGTTTCACATTCAACAAATATACTTTGCTTCATTACAATGGTTGCAATCTCCTCCATGTGCCACCAGTTAACAGTATTTACCTCTATTCACTTTACTCTTGCATTCCTCCCTGTGTCTCCTGCTACTTTCATTAAAGTTTGTGGTCTTAACAACCCTTGCCTCCCAATTAGTTTTGGCTTCATGGGCTAACCTGTGCAGATTCACAGGGCTCTTCCCTTAGAAGGGTCTTACTAGACTGGTCCATGCTTGGTTTAATGCTTTGCTATGGCCATCTTGAAATTCTTAAGAGTTGAGCATGGGGCTCTGCATTTTCATTTTGCACTGGGCCCACTTCACAAATTATGTACCTGGTTCTGCTCCCAGGAGAGAGCATAACCAAGTAGATAAATCAGGGCACTTGTGGGTGTTGATTATTTCTATTTTAAAGAGAAGAAAACAAACGTGCAAAGAAGCAATTGCCTAAGGTCACCACTCTAGTAAGCCAGAGAGCTGGAATCTAAGCCTTGTAACGTGGAACTCGTAATAACGTAATCTGAACCATTGTCGTCAGACTCTTGAGGGTAGCATTAGAGTTCATGTGTGATCAGGGAAAAAGTGAGGCTGACAGACCAGAAATTTAAAATTCGCTTCTGAGTTTGGCTCATTGGCTCTCCTTTGTTCTGTGTTCAGGAGACAAATCATGCAGAATTAATGGAACATGAGGCATCTCTCAGTAGGAATGCCCAGGAGGAGAAGCTGTCATTGCAGCAGGTGATCAAGGATATAACCCAGGTGAGGCCCTTGTTCGTGATAATCTGATTATGCATCCCCATGCCTAAATTTCCACTTTCTGCTGGTGTTTGGACTTAGGGCCTTACAGGGGTGTGTTCTTAGAGTGTATTTGAAGACTGGAACCCTAAGGGAGGAGTAGTTAAGCCCTCATGTCTAGACAGGCCTCTTTCCTGCTGCCAGCTGCAATTCTCATGCCAAAGACTGGGCCTTCTTGTCTTCCTTTCATCATTTATTATTACATCAGGGAGTGCTCTAGCCTTGTTGCTAGTCCTAGGCTTGAGGAACCAAAGATGGGGAATTGAAGGAACCTAACCGTTTTGCCGTTAAGTACCCCTCAGAGAGAGCACTTGAGAAGGAAAACATCAGGTGTGTCCAGGTTATAGAGTATGTCCTCTTGGTCAGTTGAATAGTGATGCCTTGTGTTGGGTTTCAGGCCATGGTAGAAGAAGGGGACAATATGACCCAAGGCTGTGGTGATGAGAGCCCCTTGGAGTTGGATTCTAGTGGCTTCTCCCAGCTTGACCCCCAGGACCCAGACAAGGCTCTCACTCTAGTGCGTTCAGTACTGACCCGCAGACGTCAGGCTGTACAGGTGAGAATCCCGGCATTCCTCTTCCACCACAAGACTGAGAATCTAAACTGATTGGTACCCCCAGCTTTGTTAACATCCCAGAGTGCTGATTACAATCTCTCTGCCCAGTTGTACTTGAGGATAACACACACAATCTCCATGGCAGTGGTACACTCCACATAGTACTATGCAAACATTGACAACTGGAGTCTTGGGAGACCATGAGTAAGTGTTCCCCAATTCTAAGAGTCACAGTAACACTTTTCCCCCATGCCTCTGTGCTCCCATGTTTTTTCCAGGGGCCCCAAACTATAAAACATTGCAGAAAAACATTTTTAGATCATGAATTCTGGAAATCACAGAAGCCCAATAACCTCTCAGACATTTTCCTCAACTGGTCACAACTCTCCTCAACTTACCCTGGCTGCACCAGCCCCCTTGCCCAGCCCTGCATGGGGGCTTGTGGCATCTGTGTTTTGCTCTTGCCCTCTGGCCTATTGTCCTGTTTCTGTTGCTCTCCCTCACAGAACCTGAGGCAGCAGCTTTCCGGCTGTCAGGAGGCTGTGAGCTTCTTGCAACAGCAGCATGACCAGTGGAAAGAAGAGGGGGAGGCTTTGCGACAGCGACTGCAGGCACTCACTGGGGAGCGGGACACTCTGGTGGGACAAACTGTCGACCTCCAGGGAGAAGTGGACTCTCTCAGCAAGTGAGTAGTGGGCACTTTCCCCACCCATCCAGCTCTGGCCTCCATCTTCAGGCAGCCATTTAGCCAGTCACTCCTACTGTGCATTTGGTTGGCTGACCCTACCCTCCCTGAGGCCCAGGGTTGTCTGGCTTTGCCTGCTGCTTGTTCCTTCCCACTTGGCGCCCGGTTTTGGTGCTTATGAAAAACGTTTCCCACACAAAAGGGAAGAAGATATGTTTAACGGAAATCCACGCCTCCTTCCTTGGACCCCGTGGTGTCTGTGTATAGGGAAGATTTGGGGTCCCAAGGTCTCTGCTCATCTCTGGCCTCCTTTTAGAGAGCGAGAGCTCCTGGAAAAGGCCAGGGAAGGGCTGCAGCAGCAACTGGAAGTGCTGGAGCAGGAGGCCTGGCGCCTTCGAAGGACAAACATGGAGCTGCAGCTGCAGGGGGACTCTGCTCAGGGGGAGAAGGAAGAACAGCAGGAGGAGCTGCACTTGGCTGTCCGTGAAAGGGAGCGCCTGTAAGTGACCACTGTCCCCATCACCGGGCCAGGTCATCCTTTCAGTTCTACACTGTCCCTCACCCATCCACTCTCCTCTCTTGGAAGATGCCGTCAAATGAAGCCTGGCCTGCATTGGGATCAGATTAGCTTACTCCCTCTTCCTTTGCAGAAAGATGAATACAGCAAATTCTCCTAGACTTTGCTGACATCCGCCATGGGCGAGGTACTGTGCGGGATACAGAATGTGACATGGACCCAGCTCTCAGGGAGTTTAGTCTAGTGGGGAAGTCTGACGAGTGAACAGACAACTGGCATAAGACTGGATGAAATGTAGGTTAAATGGAGCATCCAGCTAGGACCTTTGGAAACTTAGAGTAACAGTTAATTATTGAGAATCAGGGAAAATGTCATGGAAGGGGAAGACCCCTTGAACTGAGTTTGACATGTTTCATTGGCTGAGTGTTAAACAAGGATGAAAGAAACAGACTAGCAAGGGAAAGAAGACAGGAAAGCTCATCACATGTTAGTCATCTGGGCTGTCTAACGGGTAGAACTTATACTGGAAAGCAGCAGAAAACCTGAGGGACGGGTTCCTGATTTTGGAATAGTTCCCAACTAATCTTTGAATTCCCTCTGTGATGCATGGAAAGAGCAAAGGCTCCAGAGCTAGGCAAATACTGGACAGATTTGTAAAATTCTTACCTTGAAGGGTTGTAGGGAAGAGTAGAGCAGTGTTTGCAGAATCCCTGCAGGGGCCCTGGCATCCGTTAGGTCTTCGGTATCTGGTTATTGTTGTTATTAAGTGACATCGAGTCAGTTCCATCTCATAGCTACCCTATATAGCGTTTCTGAGGTGCAGTCCAGCAGTTAGCCTATAGTACAACTCCGGGTACCTGGTAGCAGAGACTGTATCTTCACCCTCCTTAGTATGTTCCCTCATCTCCTGGCCTTAGTTCCTTGCACCCAATAAATGTGGATCATGGAATCTTGCAAGACCACTAAACAGATCATGGCTTGCGTTCAGAAGGATCCCCCAGGTACCAATGGGAAACACCGACAATCTGTAGTGATAATGATAATGTTTTTAATTTTTAAGTCAGTAATGCAGTATATGGTTCAAAAGTCAAAACTATACAGAAAGATACATACTCTCCCACCCAACACTGCACCTCCATCCCATGTCCCCACTTCCAGTAGATAACCATTTAGATTAATTTCTGATTTAGCTTAACAGTGCTGTCATCTCCAAATACAAGCTTCTATTCTTAGTTTTATGTCTTACATAAAAAGCACCATGTATATTTTTTCCACCTTGCTTTTTTCAGTTAACGCTGTCTTAGAGATGTTTCCTTTTCTGTTTTTAGAGACCTTCCTCATTTTTTTGCTTAGCAGCAGTCATTATATTCCTGTTACCTTTGGCGGAGACTCACTCCCCAAAGCTTCCTCTAGCTCTCTTTCCTTCCCATGTTAGTCAGGAGACGCTGGCAAGCCTGGAAGCCAAACAATCGGAATCACTCAGTGAACTGGTCACTCTTCGGGAAGCCTTGGAGTCAAGTCACCTGGAAGGAGAGTTACTGAGGCAAGAGCAAGGAGAAATAACTGCAGCGCTGGTGAGGGTGCGTAGGCCTCCTTCCCTCAGTTGCTGGGTGGGCAGCTTCGAAAGATGTGTTTCTAGGTGAAGAGAATGCAGTTTGCCTCATACCTCACCCTTTAGGCCATGACCCCTCATATTTCTTGCCTCAGTTACTGGCATTTGTTTCTGGGTTCCCTCCCTCCAAGTATGCCTTCTATTATGAAATAGAATGAATTAAAAACAACTTTTTAAACTTTTTATTGTGATTTGAATGACTGGTTTACAGACAAGATCATCTGTTTTACATTCATCAAACCATCCACTTTGTTTCATCTCAGTGATGGCAGTCCCTTCTGTGCAACAGCAGTTATCCCACTTGCTCCCCATAGTTCCTAGGTCCATTCCACCCACCCTCCCATCCCTTCTCAACTTTGTCCTTAGTTAAATGTTGCCCTTTTGATTTTGAGTGATTGACTATTTCATGGTGAACATACCTTACTATTGTACCCCTGTACACCTATCTACTGCTTGCCTGAAAATTGGTTCATGAGGGTGAGTTCCTTTTCCAGACCTGAAGGGTGATCTATGGTCTATGGCTATAGTCTCAGGTTCCTGCAGTCACTTTATGACCAGTTAGCCCAACTCATAGCCATTATGCTACCAGAGCTATAGATAGATGATAGATAGATAGATAGATAGATAGATAGATAGATAGATAGATAGATAGATAGATGTGTGTGTATCTCGGAATCCTGGTATGGCTCTGTGGGTTAATGTGCCAGACTGCAAAGCCATTTGAACTGTAAAAGATTGGCAGTTAAGTTCACCAGCTGCTCCTTGGAAACCCTACTATACAGGGTCGCTATGGGTCAGAACTGACTCGACGGCACTTAACAACAACAACAACATACGCATCCCACAAATGTATAAGTGTTTGAAAGAGGATATTGGTACATAGGTATTTATCTTTTCTACAAATACAACTATGAGTGTGGTGGAGTCTTAGTGTCTCTACATCCTCACCAGTATTTGTTGTTTTCTGTTTTTTTTGAACTTTGTTATTAACGCTGGTGTGAGATGGTATCTCATTGTTGTTTTGATTTGCATTTCTCCAGTAGCTAATCATCATGAACATTTCTTCATATGTTTGTTGGCTGCCTGAATGTCTTCTTTGGTGAAATGTCAATTTATAGTCTCTGCTCATTTTTTAATTGTGTTGTTAGTCCTTTATAGAGGTCTTGTAGTTTTCTATGAATTTTAGACATTAGTTCCTTGTCTGATATGTTGTTGAAAAAAAATTTTTTCCGAATCTGTGGGCTCTTATTTTTGCTCCTTTGGAGAAATCTTTTGATGCACAAAAGTGTCTAATTTTTAGGAGGTCACAGTCATCAAATTTGTCTTTTACTGTTTGTATGTTTTTAGTCATGTTAGACAATGTATTTATGCTATGTATTAAGAACCCCTAAGTTTGTCCCTATTTTTTCATTGATGATCTTTATAGTTCTGGATTTTACGTTTAGGTCTCTAATCCATGTTGTTTGTTTTTGTATATGGTAGAAGATATGAGTCTTGTTTCATTCTTCTGCACATGGATTTCCAATTTTGTCAGCACCATTTGTTAAAGATACTTTTTCTTCCCCATTTAATGTGTTTTGCCTTTTGTCAAAGATCAGCTGACTGTTAAGTGGATGGATTTACTTACAAGTTCTCAATCCTGTTCCATTGATCTGTTTATCTTTCATTGTATCAGTACAATGAAATTTTTGAAATCAGGGAGCGAGAGGCCTTCTACTTTGTTGTTCTTCTTAAGCAGTACTTTGCTCACCTGACATCTCTTTCCTTTCCATATAAAGTTCATGATCATTTTTTCCATCTCTTTAAAGAATGATGTTGGAGTCTGGATTGGGGTTGTGGTATATCTACAGATTGCTTTGGGTAGTGTTGGCATTTTCACAGTGTCATGAGCATGATATAGTCCATTTTTGTTAGTCTCTTTTGGTTACTTGTAATAGTGTTTTATCGTTTTCTTTGTATAGATCTTTTGTTTCTCTGGTAAGATTTATTCCTAAGTATTTCATCTTTTGGGTGGCTACTGTAAATGGTATTGTTTTCCTAATTTCCTTTTCAGAGCTATTTTAAGGATCCTGTTTTCTTATCCATAGAATGAATTTTCAATTGTATAAATCTGATTATGTCAGTCTCTTTCGTAAAACTATTCAGTGCTCCTTGTGGTTCAACTTTCAGCCAAACAATTGTTGTTAGATACCATCGAATTGGCACCAACTCATAGTGACTCTATGCACAACAGAATGAAACACTGCCCAGTCCTGGGCCAACCACACAATCGTTGCTACATTTGAGCCCACTGCTGCTGCCACTTGGCCAATCCATCTCATTGTGGGTCATCCTCTTTTTCTCCAACCCTCCACTTTACCAAACATGATATGCTTCTCCAGTGACTGGCCCCACCTGAAAATATGTCCAAAGTATGAAAGATGAAGTCTGGCCATTCTGGATTCCAAGGTGCACTCTGGCCAAACAATAGACAGGCCTGTATGGTGAACAACAATACCAGAGAGGTACACACTCCTTAGAACAAATTACAGCATTTACCCAAGGATAAAACTCAGAAGACAAGAAGGGGGGATAGATAAGAAAGGAGGAATGGAAAAAGGAAACCCGGAGAAATAGTGGGAAGAATGCTGCTACATTGTGGGGATTGCAATCAGTGTCCTAAAACTAAATGTGTAAGAATTGTGGAAAACCAGTTTGCTTTGTAAACTTGCATCCAAATCACAATAAGAAGTTTTTTAAAAAATGAAAATGCAGTGGCTTCCAAACTCCTTGACTCCTTAGCGCCACATTCAAAGCCTATTGCCATCTGGTTCAAACTATGTTTCTAGCTTCTTCTTCCACTCCAAATTCCGTATTCCTACTTGTTGTGTATCTTGGATCGTGCTATTGCTGTTTGTGTTAAGATTCCATGGAGTTGAGTCATGGTGACCCCATGCACAGTGGAACGAAATGCTGCCAGGACCTGCAGCATCCTGTGATCAGTTACAGATTGGACTGCTGTGATCCTTGCGGTTTTCACTAGTTGATTTCTGAAAGTACATCCCAGACCTTTGTTCCTTGCTCCTGCTCACAGCACTAACTGCATTCTCAGTTATGCCATGTTTGTTCTTGACTCTAATACTTTGCATATACTCTTGCCTTTACATGCACTGCCTCTTATCCTCCCTTTTCAGCTGGAAAATTCTTACTCATCGCTCAATACCCAAGTTAATTATCAACCTTTTTTACTCTCCAATTGAAATAATGCCTTCTTGAGTTCCTGACCACTTTGTGCATACATTTTTGTAGAGTCATTATAGTTGTAGTTATTTACATGTCCTATGTCTGAACCTCAATGAAAGAAAAACTTGCTCAGACTGTAAGGGAGGGGATGTACAAAGGGATCTTTGTACAAAGAAACTAGCAGATTCTTCGGATGTGAATGATTTACAGTTGTAGGAAAACCACAAATTGGAAACTCTTGAACCCTCTTTGGTTTTAGGCGGAACAGTCCATTGCGGAGCTGTCGAGTTCTGAGAACAGCCTAAAGGTAGAGGTCGCTGATCTTCGGGCTGCAGCTGTCAAGCTTAGTGCCTTAAATGAGGCTTTGGCCTTAGATAAAGTTGGACTCAATCAACAGCTTCTCCAGGTGAGCAATGATTTCTCTGATCCTTGGGGTAGAGCCGAGCATTGTCAAGGACACACCAGTGACAGCTGTAACTGCTGCCCTTGACAAAGAAGAGTCCCCAGATGGATCAGTCTAAGACAGATCCACTCCCAAATGTAGTCCTGACATGAGTAAAAGGAGCATTTATACTGCAAAGCAGAGCAAGATTGACCTTAAACCAAAACCAAACCCATTGCCATCTTGTTGAATTCCAACTCATAGTGACCCTATAGGACAGTAGAAGGAGCCTTGATAGCATAGTGGATTATGAGCTGGGCAGCTAACTGCAAAGTCAGCAGTTCAAATCTACCAGTCACTCCTCGAGAAAAAGATGAGTCTTTCTGCCCCCGTAAAGATTTACATTCATGGAAACCCTATACAAGGTCACTATGAGTTGGAACTGACTCAGTGCCACAGAACCACCACCATCATAGGACAGCAGAACTGTTCCACATAGGGTTCCCCAGGCTGTAAATCTTTATGGAAACAGACGGCACGTCTTTCTCCCACTGAACAACTGTTGGGTTCAAACTACCCACTGTTTGGTTAGCTGCTTAACACTTAACCACTTGTGCCACCAAGCCTCCTAAGATTGACCTTAGCCATAAAAATATTCCCTTCCCAACCTCAAAAACAAAACCACCTGTGGACTTTAGGGTGTATCATGAGGATTTAGGGTCCATCATGTAGGATAAGCACTGAAACACAAGGTCAATTTGAACCACAAGGTTGACGGTTCAAACTCACCAGCTGCTCCTCAGAAAGCCCATACAGGGTTGCTATGAGTCGTAACTGACTTGATGGCACTCAACAATAACAACATGAGGACTAGGAATGAGCCCCATGTTCTCTGGAAGGAAGGCGATGTAGTTAGATTTTTAATCCTGTTGCATGAGATACCAGCCATCACCAGAAAAGACCTATCAAAGAATCATCTCTTTTCAGGATGCAAATTTAGTATATCTCCTTATTCCTGCTCCCTTGAGCCCCAGGAATGCTCTGTGTTCCCTTTTACTGAATTCTCTGAGAGCATGATTTTGCCTTTTGATCTCTATCCTCAGCATCCAGCCTATCAGTACTTGGAATATAGGCATTTGTTCAAGTGAGTGGGTTCTCCCTCTCTTATAAACACTCTTGTGTTCATCTTTGGAAAAGAGATTCAAATATTATTTGGACTTCGGCCTCAGAACCTGATCCTAAACTGTAACCATTTGTCTTTGATGTCCTTTTCCCCTTACCCTTGTTGGTCAGTAGTTAGAACTGGAGAACCAGTCCATGTGCGGCAGAATGGAGGCAGCAGAGCAGGCAAGAAACGCTCTTCAGATGGACCTGGCAGAGGCAGAGAGGAGCAAGGAAACCCTGTGGGAACAGAAAACTCACCTGGAGGCACAGCTGCAGAAAGCAGAGGAGACTGGGACTGAGCTCCAGGCAGCTCTCCGGGGCATCCAAGAAGAGAAGGAAGAAATTCAGGGGAAACTACATGAGGTAAGAAGACAAAACAGACTAAATGCTGTCACCTTAGGACATAATGCATGCTCATTCTACAAAATCAGAACACTATAGTGATGACTCTAGAAATGAAAGTCTCACTTTCTAGGAATGACCACTGCTACTGATTTGGGATATAATCTTCCCATTTTTTTCCAAGATAAAATGTGTCAGCAGGCCCCAGATTACCAATGAGTTCTGTTGCTAATCTGTCTCTAAGTCGAATTTGTATTTAAGCCAGAACAGTTACATACAGTTCACATCTAAAGTAGTCAAATGCTTGCCTTAGTATATTGTACATAGTGTACCTTTCCATGCATAAAAACATTAAAAAACACTTTGAGTTACACTAAGCTTCCTCTAACATAGTAATCAGTAATAATTGTTGTTGTTGTTGTTAAGTGCCGTCGAGTCGGTTCCGACCCATAGCGACCCTGTACAGGGTTTCCGAGGGTGTAAATCTTTACGGGAGTAGAAAGCCTCATCTTTCTCCCGCGGAGCGGCTGGTAGTTTCGAACCGCTGACCTTAAGGTTCGCAGCCCGATTCGTAGCCACTACGCTACCAGAGCTCCTTTCAGTAATAATAGTAGTGTTTTAATGTGTGCTGCCAACAGAGCACCTGTTTGTTTTGAACCATTGTGGTGGTGGTGGTGTGCTGTAGAGTCAGTTCCAACTCATAGAGTATAGGCTTTCCAAGGCTGTAAATCTTTATGGGAGCAGAAAGCCTCTTTTGTGGAGAGGCTGGTGCAGACCTTTTAAAGATTAGCAGCCCGACTCATAATTCATTAGACTGCCAGGGCTCCTTAGGAACCATTTTGCATCCCTCGAATTTTTAAAATAATAGGCTTTACAAGTTTTGTCCATAACTACTATGTAAAATGTATGTGTTTTAATACATTTTTAATATTATTAATTATTGTTTTAATAATTAAGTGCTATTGTAATAGATATGGAGTCCTGGTGTGGTGCTGTAGGATAAGCACCCAACCTCTAGCTCAGTTTGAACCGTAAGGTTGGCTGCTCAAACTCACCAGCCGCTCCTTCAAAACCCTGTACGGGGTCACTATGACTTGGAACCAACTTGACAGCACTTCACAAAACAAAATGAAACATAATAGATAATAATAGCACACGTGGGTGGTTTTGACAAACTTATTTTCTCACCGTTTAGGAGGCTAGAAGTCTGAATTCAGAGCACCTGCTGTGGTGCTATAGGATAAGCACTGACCTGCCAATCGCAAGGTCGGCAGTTCAAATCCACCCACCACTCCTTGGAAACCCCTACAAAGGGTTGTTATGAGTTGGAACTAGCTCGACGGCACTTGACAACAATGAGCTCTAGGGGAAGGCTTCCTCTCTTCTGTTGGCTTTGGAGGAAGGTCCTTGTTTGAGCTTCTGCTCCTTAGTGATCTCCATGTGACTTGACATCTCTCCTCCCTCATCTCTGCTACTCTCCTTTGTTTGTATGAGCTCTTGTATCTCAAAAGAGATCCACCCACATCCTATTGGAATCCTTCCTAATTAATATAACAAAGACAACCCATTCCCAAATGGGATTATAACCACGGGCATAGAGGCTAGGATTTGCAACACATATTTTCAAGGGACACAATTAAATCCATAACACATATGCATCATCTATTAAATTAAATATAATTGTTTACAGTGATGGCTTTCCAGATTTTTAAGTTTTATTTTACTACTACCTTCTCTTAAAGATGTCCATGATTATCTCTTCTTCATATTAACCTAAAAAGTGGCAGCGCCTATACAAAGGATTGCTTGTCACCTGGCATTCTGTGGCCCCCTTCTTCACCAACCAGTCCTGCCACCTTAGCATCACTGCACTCTCCTCTCCTTGCTTTCTATAGCAATCCTTCTCTGCTCCCCACTCCCCTTACCCCCTGCCTCACACACCCCGGTTTGAGTTAGATGCCTCTCCTGTGCTCCAATAGCACATACTTATTTCAACCATCATCTCAGTATATATTTTTATCTGTTGACATGCTATCCCAATTTGGTCCAAAACTACTTGAAGGCAGGGCTATGTCTTTTTCTTATTCCTCCAGCTTTTTGCACAGTGAGTAACAATTAGCTGAGCCTTCATGTCTTAGTTATCTAATGCTGCTATAACAGAAGAACCCCAAGTGGATAACTTTCACAAACAGAAATATATTCTCCCACAGGCTGTGGAGCGGGACCAGCAGGGCCTCTCTGAGCTCAGGTAGGGCTCACGTCCCAATTCAGGACACTAGCTCTAGGGGGAAACTTTCTCTCACTGTTGGCTCACAATTTAGGAGGAAGGTCAGTGTCTCCTTTTATTGTCTGTGGACCCAGAGTTATTCCTTAGAGATCTCTATGATCTTGGCTTCAATCTGGCCCTAAGTCTAGGAGTTTCATAGCACAGGGACCTGCTCCCAGTTCTTCTTTCTTGATGGTAGTAGGTCCTTCATTCTCTACTTGCTTCTCTCTCCTTTTATCTCTTGTAAGAGGAAAGTAATATAGGCCACACCCCAGGGAAACTCCTCTCACATTGGATCAGGGCTATAACTTGAGAAAAAGGAATTACATCCCACTTTAATCCCCTTACAACTGATTGGCTGATCACATCATGGGGAATGATTATATCATTACATAACTGTTAAACCACTGAGAATCATGGCCCAGACAAGTTGACATATAATTTGGAGGGATACATTCAATCCATAGAACTCTGTGAAGTTTTTTTTAACCAATGGCCAGGCTCAAAAGTGGCCTTTTTCATGCCCTAGTAATTATTCATTATTTCTCTTCTCAGAGTCTCTTTCTCAGGACACTGAATCACTTTCTTTCTGGTGCTGTGTGTGTGTCTTACTTCTCAAGGTTAAACACTTCTTAGGGGCAGATCTAGCATAGGGTCTTGCTCATAGAAAAGCATGCTTTTGGACCTCTGGTGTAGCACTGTAGAATCAGCACTAGACTGTGAACCACAAGCTACTGCTGCTTGGAAACCCTATACAGGGTCGTTATAAGTCAGAACAGACTGGATGACTCTTACGAACAACTGGGCTGCTACTCTATGAGTTGATCTGAGAAGTAGATACATTGACTGGAGAGGGCAGTGCTCAGGGCTCATAGCTGGGCTCAGAATCTCTGAAGAGCTGACGGCTCTAACCTGGCCCCTACTGCAGCTCACCACTTTCTTCCCCTCAGGCGTGCCATCAGCAGGAGGCAGCCACAGCTCAGCTGGAACAGCTGCAGCAGGAAGCAAATCGACAAGAAGAAGTGCTGAGCAGGGCAGTCCAGGAGAAGGAGGCCCTAATTCGAGAGAAGGCGGCTCTCCAGGTGCGGCTGCAGGCTGTGGAGCGGGACCGGCAGGGCCTCTCTGAACAACTGCTGGGCCTCAGGTAGGGCTCAGACCCAGTTTAGCCAAGGGCCAAGCAGAGCTTGACAAGGGGTAGGCACATGGTTGGGTTTTAGAGGAGTTAGGAGTTTATAGTTGGCCCGGAGCATCCACAGTTAGATTATACTTAAAACCTAATTCTTCTTCATGAGGGCTAAGGAGTGCTGGTGGCACAATGGTTAAGTGCTAAGCAGCTGACCAAAAGGTTAGAGATTTGAACCCACCCAGCTGCTCCATAGGAGAAAGACCTGGTGATCTGCTCCTATAAAGGTTATAGACCGGAAAACCCTATGAGTATCACATAGGTTGCTGTAAGCCTAAAACTGACACACTGGCATCCAACAACAGCAACAGCAACCGAGGTTTGAAGGGTAAGAACTCTTCCTAATTTCTGAACCTCACAGCTCAGCCAAGGAGCTACTGGAGAGCAGTCTGTTTGAGGCCCAACAACAAAATTCTCTGATCGAGGTCACCAAGGGGCAGCTGGAGGTCCAGATTCAAACTGTCACTCAAGCCAAGGATGTGATCCAAGGTGAGAACCCAGCTGGGACAGGGCCTACCCCGTTCCAGGGCAATGTTGAAAGCCAAGCAGTGAGACACTATTAGGGTCTTTTTCTGGCTAGAAGCAGGGTCTCTATTGTTACTCCTTTGAGATAGATGGGGTGGGGTGGGGGGAATGTTATTAGGAGACAGGAGTGGAACAGAGGTTCAGAGACCTTGTCCTGATCCTGGCATCTTAGGGGAGGTGAGATGCCTAAAGTTGGAACTGGACACTGAACGGAGCCGGGCAGAGCAAGAGCGGGATACAGCAGCCAAGCAGCTGGCCCTGGCTGAGCAAGAGAGGCAGGCTGCCCTGCAGCAGCAGAAGGCAGCCCATGAGGAGGAGGTGGACCGGCTCCAGGAGAATTGGGTAGGTAGTAGATGTGGCTTCCCTTAAGTGAGTTCTCCACCTGCTGACTTTACAAGAGTTTACAATAGTAAAATCTGAACTCCTCTAGCCCCTCTTTTTAGTTGGCTTTTTTGGACTAAAGTGAAGATTGGGCATTCATAACTGTTATATAACTGTGGTATTATAGATTGCTGTTCTTAGGCATCTTAACAGTCCAGTGACTTATTCATAGGAGTCTTGGTAGTGCGATAACCACCTGACTGCTAACCAAAACATTGGCAATTTGAACCCACTCAGTGGCTCCATGGAAGAAACACGAGGCAATCTGCTTCCATAAGATCACAGTTAAGGACACCCTGTGCGACAATTCTATTGTGCTGCGTGGGGTTGCTATGAGTCAGATTTGACACCACTTATCAGCAACGACAACAGTTTATTCAGATTCATGAAAGCAGTGTTGATGGAGTGCTAACCAAGTGCCACCATGATGCTGGGGTGATGGGCACAGTGAGATCAGCCTAGACATAGTTCTCTGTACAGAGCTTCAAGGTTTGGGGGAAAACAGGTATTAGACAAATTAATACATAAACAAGTTGTTGTTGTTGTTAAGTGCCGTCGAGTTGGTTCCGACCCATAGTGACCCTCTACAGGGTTTCCGAGGCTATAAATCTTTACAGGAGCAGAAAGCCTCATCTTTCTCCCGCGGAGCAGCTGGTAGTCTCGAACTGTTGACCTTGCGGTTCACAGCCCAATTCATAACCACTACCCAAGTAAATGATTATAAATTATCAAAGTTCTACGAAAAAAAAAGAAATGGGTGTTATAAGAAAGAATAACAGGGAGATTTTGCATGGTTGGGGAAGGCCTCTCCAAAAAAGTGTCTTTTAAGCCGAGCTGGAAGGCATGATGGGATGGGGGCAGGGAAGTGTGTTCCAGATGGGATGAAAGAGCTTAGTGTGCTCAAGGAACTGAACAGAGGCCAGCACAGCCAGAGTGTGAGAGTGCAGGTCGCTGCTCAAGATGACGATGGAAAGGGTGGAACTCTAGAGGTATTCCATTACATAAATACATAATTATAGCTGTGTGTGCCTTGTCAAGGAATGGGGCAGGGAAATGCCATTCTCTTTTCATTCCATTTTTCCACCAACTTTTTGAAGCCTCCTCATACTAATGTGGTGGTGGTGGTGGTGGTGATGATGGTAGCTCTTCTACACTGAATGTTTTCTTGGCTCAGTGCTGTCAAAAGTGCTTTTGTGAATTTTCTCAATCCTCGCTGCAACCCTAGGTGGGCAGTACTGTTATGGCCAGTTTTATAGATGAGAAAACTAAGGCACTGAAATGATTAGACATTGACGTCACAGTAGTACTGATGGATTAGTCAGCCAGACTCCGGAGCTTAAGCTCATAGCCACAGTCCTGAGAGCTTCTGCTCTCAGGGATCTGGACTAGACTAGGAGACCAAGGAAGGCTTCCTCTGGGAGAACCAGAGTCCCCCAGTCCTGATGTCCTTGTGTAACGTGGGAGACAGCCTAGCTGGGCTCCAGTTGTTGTAAAGTTGATCCAGACTCCTGGCCACCTCATATACGTCAGAGTAGAACTGAGCTTTTAGGGTATTCAGTGATGAATTTGTTACGGGGTCAGGGGAGTGTGGTAGATTTCTTCCAGCGTACCTCTAGGTGAGCTTGAACTTTCAGCCTTTTCGTTAACAGTCAAGCATGTTTACTGTTTGCACTTCCTAGGGACTCACTAAGTAGGCTAAGCCTGGTTTGCGGGGAGGACAACTCTGAAGCCTTGATTAAAGGCACGTGGGAAGCTAAGAGCCAGAGTCTACTGCCTCAGCTCTTCAGCGCCATTGATCATGATGTGGTAACTTTAAAATAACATATTCATAGCTTCTTGTTGTTGTTAAGTGCCGTCAAGTTGATTCCAACCCATAGTGACCCTGTATAGGGTTTCTGAGGAGCAGCTGGTGGGCTTGAACCACCAATCTTGCAGTTTAAACAGCTTTGAAGTCTGGCGCATTAACCCACAGCGCCACACCAGGATTCCATTCACAGCTTAGGGTAGGAATAATTACACTTTAAAAATCATGTTTACATATATCATTTGATTTTTTATAAGTATCATTGGATTCTTATCAAATCTGGTATGATAGATAAGACCAGGACAATTAGCCATGCTTTACAGATGAGAAAAAAAGACTTAGAGGTGTATCAGAGTCGTACAGTTATTCCAATCCACTTCTTCGGCTGCTTCTTGCCCTTCTACTTCTAACAAGGATTTCCTTCATGTGACCAGGATAAAGAGCGCTCCTGGCGGCAGCAGGAGCTGGAGCAAGCTGTGGAGGGCCTGGAAAAGGAGAAAATGGAGCTGGAGATGAGGCTGAGGGAGCAGCAGGCAGAAACTGAGGCTATCCGGGTACAGAAGGAGGAAGAGCGAGCCCAGGCTGAGAGTGCCCTGTGCCAGGTGGGGAGCCCAGAGGGTTGGAGCCACATGTTCAGTCTATGGTCCCCCAGTCTGTGAGGGGACACTTCCAAGAGTGTCATTGCAGTCGGGCATGCATATCGCTAGTTACAGGGCTTACATACCACAGCATGTCCTGCTTCCTGAGGAAGGGCTCTCATTTACCACTTCCTGTCAGTTTGTAAACCAGTGGCAGTCTTTGCACTTCCTGGTTCTACATCAGTGACTTCAGACCTCTCTTCACCCTCCGTCTCTGCCCCATTTGCCAGAAGAGCCCTAGAACAGCAGCCATGTGAGCATGATAACCCCGACCCAATAAGCTCTTGGCCTTTCTGTCCCTTTCCAGATGCAACTTGAAACAGAGAAGGAGAGAGTGTCCCTCCTGGAGACACTCCTGCAGACCCAGAAGGAGCTGGCAGATGCCAGCCAACAACTGGAACGGCTGAGGCAGGACATGAAGGTTCAGAAGCTGAAGGAGCAGGTATGGAGGATGGTCCTGGGCAGGAAAGAAAAGGGAGCATCCATTGGTTGATTGATCAATGAGTACTTGTTTGGTACTTAAGCTCCAGGCCCTGTACTGGGTGCAACATGTGTGATAGGTACATGAAGGTCTAGCACAACAGGGAATGTAGCAGACCTGGTCCTGCCTTCAGGAAACTTACGTTCTAGTGGCAGAAACAAACAAAAACAGCAGATGTAAGAGAAAGTAAACAATAGGCTGTATTAAGTGCTGTGAAGGGAACAAATAAGATGGCATCACTGAGAGTGATTCAGAAGGAGCCGCTTTGGACAAGAGAGTGAGAGAAACAAAGCCTCACTGAAAAAGTGACATTTGTGCTGAGACTTGTAGAAGCCAGCCACAGGTCACATCATGGATAAACTTCGAAAATACGCTTGATGAAAGAAAGCAGTCACAAAAAACTACATATTCTATGCTTCCATTTATATGAAATGTTCATAAAGGCAAATCTATAAAGACCCAAAGGATTTTGAGACCTGTCCTTTGGACATGTTATCAGTAGGCACACAGTAGCTGTAACAAAAAGCTCAAGCACAGCAGTTGTGAGGATGGCACAGGACTGAGCAGTTTCATTAGTTTACTTAGGGTTGCTATGACTGGAAAGACTTGAGGGCACCTACCAAAAACAAGAACAACATAGAGAAAGAAAGTAGATAGTGGTTACCTAGAGCTGTGGGCAGGAGCTCTGGTGGTGTAATGGCTAAAGCACTCAGCTCCTAACCAAGAGGTTAAACCAACCAGCTTAAACCCACCAGTAGGCTCTGCAGGAGAAAGATGTGACATCAGCTTTCCTAAAGATTTATTGTTGTTGTTAAGTACCGTCAACTTAGTTTCAACCTATAGCAACCTTGTATAGGGTTTCCGAGGAGTGGATGGTGAGTTTGAACCACTGACCTTGCTGTTCAAACCAATTTTATGGTCTGGTGCTTACCATATGGCACCACACCAAGAATTTGCAACCTTGGAAATCCTATAGGAAGTTTTACTGTGTCCTTTAAGAGTTCTGGACTCCTGGTGTGGTGCTATAGGACCAACACTTGACTGCAAACCACAAGGTTAGCCGTTCAAACCCACCAGCTGCTCCTCAGAAATCCTATACAGGGTTGCTATGGGTCAGAAACGATTCAACAGCACTTAACAACAACATGTAAGTCCTGGTGTGGCACTGTAGGATAAGCAATGGACCACAAGGTCAGTTTGAACCGCAAGGTTGGTGGTTCATAACTCACCAGCCACTCCTCAGAAACCCTGTACAGGGTCACTATGAGTCAGAATCGACTTGAGGGTACTTGTCAGTAATCACAATACAGTCATGATGAATGAGCTGGAATTGACTCCATGGTAATGGACTTTATACTTTAGGACTGGGAGTGGGTGGAGGAGAAGCTAGGGAGTGACTGCTAAAGGGCAGGAGGTTTCTCTTTGGGGTGATGGAACTGTTCTAAAATTGACTGTGGTAATGATTGGGCAACTCCTCAGTGAATGTACTTAAACCATTGGATTGTATACTTGAAGCAAGTGAATTATATGTTATGTGAATTACATCCCAGTATTTTTATTGTTGTTCTTAATTAGTGCCATCGAGTCAGTTCTGACCCACAGTGACCCTGTATAGGGATCCCAAGGAGCAGCTGATGAGCTTGAACTGCCAACCTTGTAGTTGAAACCAACTTTGCAGTCCAGCGCATTAGCCCACAGCGCCACAACAGGACTCCACATTCCAATATAGCTCTTAAAAAATAGCCAAAGTTAGCCATTTGAAGGACACTGTAGGCAGACAAGGAGTCCTGATAGGGCGCATAGGATAAGCACTGGACTGCTAGCCCCTAGGTTGGTGTTCAAACACACCAGCTGCTCCTTGGAAATCCTATACAGGGTTGCTGTGAGTCGGGACCTACTCGATAGCACTTAACGACAAGAGCAGCGTAGGTAAAGGAACTATCCATCATAAGGACCCCAGGACAGACAGAAAGGGCTTGGAGAGTTCAGGGACAGGAAGAACAGGGCATAGTAAACTAAGAGGCAGACAGGAGTCCTTTGACAGTCAGTTGGCAGTTGAGTTCTGTTCTAAGGGCAGTGGGACATGCTTGGGTGATACTATTTCAAAGCTGGAATTAGACATGTTTTAATACATAGGTTTAAAATAACTTAGCCACTGTGTGTGTTTGTTGGGGATGATCAGGCTGTTGGCGATGGTCTGGGAAAGAGATGAGGACCCACACAAGGACCCTGACTGAGAACACCTGCTGTGCGAGTACTCTTAGTGAGAGAGGAAAGGGATTATGAGGACAGGGATTAAGGGGACTTCAGGTAGCAGGGCATCAAGGAAACAACACTGGTTACTGAACCCTCCTTCAACTTTTGCCAACCCAGGCTCAAAAGCCAGTATCATGCATGAAGGCCCCCGGAGAAGCCTTCCTCTGCTCACTGGTGCTTCCCTCTCGGCAGGAGATCAGTGTGATGCTGCAGACCCAGCTCCAAGAGACCCAGCGGGAACTCCAGGAGGTGGCTAAGCAGCACAGAGACGACCTTGCTGCTATCCAAGCAGAAGGCAGCATCCTGCTGCAGGATAAGATGGACCTGCAGAAGCAGGTTGCCTCCTTCTATCCACCCAGCCCCTCAGCCTTTCCCTAGCATGGCCAGGTTTCACACTCCCAGGGCCCTGGGCGTGGGAGGGGAAGGGTAGGCCGGAGAGCTTGGAGCCCTGCCATAGTAATAATATCTTTCTCTATAGTCACCACAGAGCGTAGGTTTGCTCAGGCAGTCCCACTTCAAGTGTTCTTCCCATCCTCCCCAGGTTGCTACTCTTTCTCAGAATCCTCCCATTAATGATGCTCTAATTATTTTTATAAAACTATAATCACTAAACACTTGTACATCACTTTACCTTTGGGTGTAGTTCCCTTCAGCCAAGACTTCTATCAGGCCTGCCTTTATACAGCATATGTAGGCTGTAAAGACAGATGAGGGGGCTGGATAATGCTGGGGACGGGGGTGGCTTGGCACAGCCAGAGGGATTGGTGGAGACTCCAGAGCATTGGAGATGGGCCAGCGACTCTGGTAAGCCGTGAAGGGCCATCACACCCTCAGTGAGAAGCGCTTTTCCACTGGTCCCTACCCTGCTGTCGTATTCTTCATGCCCTTAACTTTCCAGATGGAGGACTTGAAGTCTCAGCTGGTTGCCAAGGATGAGTCCAGGAGACTGATAGAACGGGAGATTCAGGAGAAGATAAGAGAGGTCCAAGAGTCTTGCTGGATTCAGAAGGAGCTGGAAAGAGAGAAAGCCAGGTAGGCCAGACAGGCTATGAGGTTGGCTTTTGCTTGTCTGTCTATAGTGGCCACTGTGAGGTGGACACTTCTTTACTCAGGTCACCTGACAGGGATTTCTTGAGCCTTTCATGTCTCCAGAGCTGGTGTGTGTCTGTAGCTGTGAGGAAACGACAGTCACTAATTTCATGGCTTACATTCCATTTAATCAATATTTAGAGACTTCTCATTGTGCACCAGGCACTGTGCCAGGAGCGGGAGACACAGTGTTGTCGTTCCCTCTGAAGAGTTTATAGGCTTGTGGGGAAGACATTAGTCAAATAATCCCCCAAATAAATGATTATAGATTACAGTGCATGCTATGAAGGAAAGAAGCAGGGTACTGAAGTAGAAATGAGAGAGGTAGTCAGGGAAGGCCTTTCTCAAGAGGTTGCATCTAAACTGAGCACTGAGGATGAAATGGAGCCACCCAGTCACAGAGGCCCTGAGGCAGATGAAAGCTTGGGTGTTTGGGCCAACTAAAAGAGGGTGGTGACTGAGGAGAGAGTGGCATCACCAGGCAAGTGCCATATCATTCAGGATTTTGTAGTTTAAGTTTGGTGGGAGACCATTGGAGGCTTTTAAGCAGAGATGTTGATTGGATCCATTTGATGATGTGTCAGAGGGACCGTAGGAGTCCTGGTGTGGCGCTGTGGATTAATATGCTAGACTGCAAAGTTGGTTTGAACTGCCAAGGTTGATGGTTCAAGCTCACCAGTCGCTCCTTGGAAACCCTCTACAGGGTCGCTATGATGGCACCGACTTGATGGCACTTAACAATAACAACAACAACAGAGGGACTGTAATGACGTGACACATGAGGAACAATATGAGACTGTTCAGAATGAGGACAGCATATGTTCTCAGGAGTATAGGAGTTTACAAAGGGACAGACCTGTTTGGTAATGAAGCTTGGTCAGGAACACGAGTTAGGTTGCTACAGATGTCCAGATAAAAGATGCTAAGGTTGAACCAGGGTAGGGGTAGTGGGAAAGGAGAGAAGATGGGCTTCAGAGTTAGAATGAATTTGGTTTAGTCATAGACCAGATGTGGACAGAATGCAGGAAGAACTCTGATATGGCCACGGTTTCTAGCTTGGGGCACTAGATAGGTAGAGTTGCCATTCACTGAGCCAGAGAACATCGTAGAAGGAAATGATTGGGAGTGGGAAGTTTGGGCCATGATGAGTTTGGGGTACTTAACTATACTTGGAATTTGTGTCATTAAAATGAAGTGTCAAATGCATGGATTATCTAAGGCAGTGCTTGGCACTCACTGGGTGCTCACTAAGTGGTGGCTGTTAGTGTTAGTACTCAAATCGCTATCATGACTATTTCTGTCTGCATTACTAATGCTGCATTTAGGAAAGTCAGATGAGAAGGTAATTCTTCCTTCCCTGAGACAATGGCCCAGCCTTCTGACCTCTCTCGTTTTAGCCTGACTCAGTCACTGGTGGAGAAAGAACAGAAACTCCTTGTCTTGCAAGAAACTGACTCTGTTCGACAACAAGAGCTGAGCTCCTTGCGCCAGGACATGCAGGAGGCCCAGGGAAAGCAGAAAGAGCTCAGTGCCCAGGTACTTCCTGCCCTGGTTATGAGCCCTCCCTCCATGGTGGAGGCCCCTTGTTGAGAGACCTCTTGTCTGATTCCATATTACAGAGGATGCTGTGACCTCAGTAGCCCTGGCAGAACAGGGTAGGCAGGACTGAGCCAGCATGGGGTCTTGGGAAGTTGACCCAGAGATCAGAATGACTCCACTGACACTGACAACCCAGAATATAGTTAGTGCCTAAGGGGGTGGAGCACAAGAGGGCCTGTGTCACACACAAGCCCATCAAGTGTGCTTGGTCTGGTTGACAAGATGAAATAGGGGCAATTGACCAAACAAGTACTATGCCAGGTCAGGGAGACAGCAGTAATTGGGCTTCCCATAGGCTCAGTCTACTCACAGTAGGACATCAGACCTTGGATGCAGAAGAAACATGGAGTCAGGAAGCGGGGAGAGTAGAAGCTAGACAGTAGATTATAGCTGTTATTAAGGACACTGTTCTAGGTGTTAGATAATTCTGGGTAAGACATCAGACCTTGGATGCAGAAGAAACATGGAGTCAGGAAGTGGGGAGAGTAGAAGCTAGACAGTAGATTATAGCTGTTATTAAGGACACTGTTCTAGGTGTTAGATAATTCTGGGTTTGACTTCCAGCACTACTGCCTCCCAGTTGTGTGAGCACTGGTTTCTTTATCCATAAGATAAGGGTGATAATCCTATGAGGAAAACCATGAGATGATGGATCTAAAGTGCCAGGAATGTAGTAAGCATTCAGCAAATGGTATTCATTATTACTGTGGCTGGTCAGTGTCATCTTTCAGAACAGAGCTCTAATCCTAGCTGAGAGCTGCCGTATCTACCAGACGAAACTAGAGCAGAAGCCCATTTCTGTAGCCTGGGCCCATGTATCAGGAGTCATGGTATGGCCAGTCAGTAGGTAGGGATCTACATCCTAGGTGTCAAATCTAGGGTAACACTCATTTCAGAACCCTACTTACCTGCGGGAGAGTAGAGCATGCTGAAATCCCTCCAGCCCTGATCAAGGTTTCCATAGAGATTGAATAAGGTCCAACCTGGAAGGAAAAAGGACCCCCTTCTCTGCTCATAGTCCCTCCACATCCTTCCTGGCAGGTGGAATTACTGAGGCAGGAGGTGAAGGAAAAGGAGGCTGACTTTCTGGCTCAGGAAGCGCAGCTGCTAGAGGAGCTGGAGGCATCCCGGATGACAGAGCAGCAGCTGCGAGCTTCCCTGTGGGCCCAAGAAACCAAAGGAGCCCAACTCCACCTGCGACTGCGAAGCACGGAGAGCCAGCTGGAGGTGCTGACTGCAGAGCAACAGCCCGGGCACCAGGCCCAAGCCCAGCTGGCCAGACTCTACTCAGTCCTGCAGCAGAGTTTAGGGTCCGGGTGTGAGACCAGACCCGAACTGAGTGGTGGAGGAGACTCTGCTCCCTCCTTCTGGGGCCCTGAGCCAGGTGAGGCAGCCACTCCTGAGCTCAGCCTTTGGGTCACACCTGGCTCCCAAAAGAGAGGCAAGAGGAATGTGGTTCCTTGGGCAAGACCACCAAGGTTCAAGCCCCAGATTTTGGAATTCCTTTCGAGTGAATCCCAGCTCTGTTAACTGATTGTTGTGTGTCTTGGGCAAATCACCTAGCTTCTCTGCACTTGATTTTCTTCAACTTTAAAATAATATTAAAAGTCCCATGAGTCCCTCAGTGGTGCAAATAGTTAAGCGCGTGACTGTCGGCTTCCTAAAAGTCACAGCCTTGAAATCCCTATGAAGCCGTTCTATTCTGTATGCATGGGGCTGCCGTGAGCTGGAATCACCCAGTGGCAACTAGCAACAGGTAAAGTACCCAATGTCAGGATTTTTCTGAAGAGTTAATGAGATTATAGCTGCAAACTAGCTCCTAGAGTTCCTGGTGTTGTTTCAGTGTCTACCATGATACTATGCAGCATCGTGCCTGGCACGTGTTATTGTTGTTAAGTACCATTGAGTCAGTTCTGACTCATAGTGACCCTGTATAGGGTTTCTGAGGAGTGTCTGGTCAGTTTGAACTGCCAACTTGTGATTAACAATCAAGTGCTTATCCCATAGCACCACACCAGGCCTGGCAAATGAGTATGCAGAAAAGACGTGAATGAACTGCTGAGAAAGGGTTCTTTGAGGAGAAGAGGAATCAGTAGCAAAACCAGGGCATGTCTTGGGAGTTATGGCTTTTGTTTTCATAAGGGCAGCCAGGTCAGGAAGTTTCTCCTTTTTTCAGACCAAAATGAAGCTAGGAGCATATTTAAAAGAGAGCCCCTCCTGACTGCTCTCTCAGCTGAGGCAGTGGCATCTGCCCTCCACAGACTTCATCAGGACCTGTGGAAGACTCGACAGGCCCGGGTAGGTTTTGCTGTTTTCCTTCCTGGATTCTTCACCTCCACCTAAGACTGGAGAAAAAGAATTCTGAAGCATTTTGACTTCTTTTACTCCTGAGATCAGATTCGGGTGAGTTCCACATCTACCACTTTCTACCTGCCAGTCATAAAAAAGCATTTGGATTTTTGGGGCCTCAATTTCATTTGTGAAGCCAGGCAGATCATTCCTGATTCACAAGATTGTTGTGACAGTTAAATGAGTGAGGGGCTGAATGAGTCCTGTTAGCTGTAAAACCCTTACAGGTATGTAATGTGTGTTGTGGAGTGAGTAAAAGTTTACAGGACAGATCATCAGTTTTTCATTCAACAGATCATAAACTTTGTTTCATTACAATGATTATAATACCCTCCTTATACTATCAGTTAACAGTGTTTCTCTTTATTCACTTTAATTTACACCTCTAAAGGGCACATTCTGCAAGTCAGCCTCCTGGCCACCAGCTCTTAATCCCTCTCTTCCCATGAATCTAGAGTCCTCAGCCGCTCCCCCTCTCCATGACTCCCATTTCTGCCTGTGTCTGCTTCTCTGGATAAGGTCCCACAGTCTGCTTGTGTTCTTATCCCTTGATGGTCTTAGGGTCCTCTGTTTCTGTACTGTAAGATTAACTACTCCCCTGTTTTTGTTACAAAACTTCTACCTTTACAATTGTGACAGTCACTATTAGTCATGATGACAGTTATTCACTATTGAATCATATGAATCTTATCCCCCATCGCTTTTCACCAGACCCATTTAGACAAAATGAAAACTATTTAGTGGGGACTTTTTCTCTCCCCCCCACCTACTCTTAAACTATACTCCCTCTTGAAACCTTGTAAGCCAGTTCTTTGTGCCTTTATCGTCCCTCATTTTAGGTAGCCAGTGTCTAAGTTACCCGCCCCTATCTAACCTGTGTACAGAGGGGATAGCATTGATACTTGATGTGAAGACTCCTTCCTTCTCTGTTGGTATTTAGAGTTACTACCTCCATGAGTATAGGTCAGGTTCATCAAATTGTAGCAATTTACCCTTGTTTCCTTTATTTAAAAAAATTTTTTTTGTAATTTTCCTCTAGTCAAGTTCTGATTATCAAGTCATCAAGGCTAGGTTAAATTGATACTGTCTGCAAGTTCGGGTGTTCTTATGCATCTCCCCTCACTTCATATCAGCTGGGTGCTTCACTTTCACCTATGTCTTTGTCCGTGGGCTCAAGTGTTCCCAGGTTAACCACACTTTGGACAAACCAGCCCTTCCTCTTCTCTCTCTCATCTCCAGGTTAATGGGAGTCAATGGACTGTGGTTGAACATAGCCCATTTCATTGCTGCCTTACCCCCTCTTCCACTCACCAGTAGACCAATGTGATCACCAGCAAGCTTACATGTCTGTTCATGTGTTCCCTTTGAGTTTCAGTCTTAGAGGGGAGTTTGTCCTGAAGGAACGTGATTGCTTGCCTTGATGGCTTCCTGGCAAACAGCTTGCTTATTCTTGTAGTAGCCAATCATGCTGACATTTTTGTTTTGGCTTTTTCCTGGTGCTGTTTCTTTGAAGTTGTATCTTCTGTTGCTCTAGCTGTTCCAGGCTGGTCTGCTTGTCATTGCTAGTGGGAATGTCCCACCTCATAAGGTTCTGGATGGGACTCAGGATTCCTCCTAAGGTCCTATACTCTGCAAAGGCTTTGCAAGAGTCCTATTTCACTGGACAAGTTCTAGAACCCCTTTAAGGTATTCTAATCAGTTATAGGCTGAAGATGGGCTTACAAGTTTTCTGTAATCATGTTTCCCAACATTCCTTTCTATCCCACTCAAGTGTCTATTTTACAATAGTAGGCAAAGGAAACTGATATTCATGAGTCAAGCATTTTAGCATTATTTCCCCCTCTTCAAACTATGCCTAGATCCCTGTATCACAGAGCCCTGTTGTTCCAACGTTGAGCATTTACCTCTGTCCCACTTAGGCCATGCAAGGTTGTTCCAAGGTTGAGCATTTACCTCTGTCCCACTTAAGCCATGCAAACCTGTCTCAGTGTTCCCCTATCTATCTTGTTCTTTTGCATCCTCCCGCTTCTTGATCAACTCTTCCCTCAATTTAAGACAGTCTATTTTATCCTGTAATCTACCTGACCCTCTCACCACCTGGATCTCTGTTCCTCTGTGTTTACCTTCTTTCACATTGTAATTGTTTTGGTCATAGACTGACCTCCCAGATCCTCTGTTCTTATCATTTTATTCTGTTCTTGACTCTTCCATTTGTCGATTGACTTCAGGGTTATGCTGCCACGTACATCATTCTCTGG